TTTTTTTTTTATAGGTAAATAAGAACAAATGAAACAAGTTGATGCCTAAACCCTAGAAATTACCAAGAATAGTTCAGCAAAGTGGAGATTGTTAAGTATTTGGGTTGCCTCGTATTCTTGGTCCATAACATTTGGGCCTATGTTGCTCATTCTGGATAATGGTCCAACCCGAATGAAGAAAAAGTGGTTCTTATAAACACGCCTCTTCATTTAATTGATGCTTGATCTAGCCATACACTTGGCCATCTCCCAATCGTTGATTTGTGACTCTTTGATTGACTGCTTAAGTATCGTTTGGCCATTCATTTTCTGGAAGCATTGAACTTTGTGTTTAGGATTCTCTCTTTCTTCTCTCTAACCACATTGTGTACTCTTTGTGAGTTTTTAATCTGAAAATCAGAGTGATTCTGAGATTCTACATTTGATATATACTGTGAGAAAGGTTCTTAGTAATATGGTGTGGTTTTATACTGTGTGTTGATGCTAGAGAAAACATCGAAGAAATCTTTGATTTCTTCGTACATATTGTAACGATTCTTGGTGATTTCTTAGTGGATCTAAAGCTTTATTCACTTGTAGATGTTCAACGGGTGAGTAGATCGTAAGACTGAGCATCAGGGCCCTTTGTAGCGAAAAAATTCTTCATGTTCTTGTTTCCCTTAAGTTTCTGCAATTCCTTTTGTTACGATTGGTTCGAAAATAAATTTTTAAACAAGATCCTGATACCAACAATATTTTTGGTAACAGGAAATTCTAATGATTTGATTTGGTAAAAAGAGAAATTTTAGGGTAAAAAAATATAGTAACTTTGAAGAACATAATTGGAGGGAGGGAATAGCAATAAAGTTATGCCTGGAAAGAAGTTCCATTATTTTAATTTTTTGGAAACCAACTTCGTATTTCTGCATGTATGTTTCAACTTAAGAAAAAAGATATTTGATTTGATAAATGTTTTGATGATGCAAATAAAATGTCCATACATAATCAAATAATGGATTGGATTTTGCACTGCCAACAAGAAGTAGAGAACAAACCACAATTTACCTGATGCATATATCCACGGAAAAGCTCATTTTGTTTTCTTACTCTTTGTACAAAGCGTTTTGGAGCTATTACACCTGTTTTTTTCTTCTGTGAACTAATCTGCATAAATAACAACTGGTTGGTGACTTCAACATCTCATGGAAATTGTATACTGAACATGTAAATTGATGATCTTCAGTCTTCACTACCAATGAACAATATAATTTGTGTAACACACTGTGTTATGACAAGCCTGACATATTTCTTAGTTGAAGTAAATCCATTTTAGTGAACTTCATGCCATTAAAAACTTAATAGACAGATTTAGCGCCCGTCTTTTCTTATTTTTTACTTGCTTTTTTCCACTTTTCTGACCGTTGCAAAACCATTACAGCCGTCTTTGTTGACTTCCTACTCACATGGGGACTCGCATCACTTTGGCAACAGTACAAAAATTGCACAAAATTTGGGGAAGAAGCATTCCCAGACACGCACTTAGATAGGCCATGAAAATTGTTGCGACAATTGTTACTATACACAAGATGTAATGTGCAACCATGGGTAAAGAATATCCAAGGCTGCATACTGACTAAATATTATGTATACAATCCTGATGAAATCTTCCACCAAGCAAGTAACTGAATTCATATAGTTAGTTTACAAAAACATAAATATTATTTTAACTTGAAGGCAGGTTATTTGCAAAAAATCTCTCATCCTCCACATGTTAGAAGGATGGCACGTGCCCCTTCCACTTGTGCTTAAGGTCCATATTAAATAGACATGGTAGGGCTATTGCCAAACCCCCCCGGGTGCCCCCCACTGGGTCTAGGTGGAGACATAAAAACCCACTGAGGCTCTGATGGTTTTCTACTTAAGGGGGAAAAAACATATTCTTATGATACATAGTACAGTAGTACATAATTTTATTGCCACCGTGATTACTAAGATGAAATATATTACCTGTGAGAACAATTCTGCCAGACATGTCAAGAGATTCTCATCTCCTTCGCTAGGATTTTTGTTGCTTGAATAATACTCCAGCAGTTCTTCACGAAATGGAACACAGAAGTAAAGAGCCTAAAAAACACGATGATATAATTGGATTAGCACAATAACATAGAAGCCTAGTGCTTACCTTGTAAAATAAATTCTATTACAAATACACTCCCTTATTTAGACATGCGACTTTCTAGTCCTGAACAAACTTGTAAGAAATTTGTTTTCATTTGAAAATCTATTTTACAGTTTCCTCTTTGGTGTTCGTAAAATAATTTTCTTAACCAGTGTCCACTACCTCAACCATCATCACTATCAACATAGGGTGTTTTATATATGTGTGTGCGCGCGCGCGTGCGCGCGTGCCGGGTGGAGTCAATACAGTAGAAATAGAAAAAGTGTTGATTGGCACAGTGCTGCTAAGGGCCTAAGCAGAGGTCAAGCAAGCAGTTGGAAAATGACCAGCTTCCAAATGCTACCACAGTCATTTTTGCTTTGAACATGGAATAAATCTTTTGTAAATTCTAAACAGAGAAAAACACCAAATCTTCCAGAAATCATCAGGTTTATGCACAAACAAATGGATCCATCTAAAATTTTGCGGCAAACCCATCTAAAGAAATTCAAGATAAGAATCATGAAATTTTACTGTTGAACTTCACTCGCACAACAAAACCATTTTCCTTTTCCTTCTATGCTTTCTTTTCCAAGTCCCCACGTAGAGAACAGCAGTAGAAGTCCCCAAGATCACTATTTTACACCAAACAGAGAGACCCATCTAAATATTGCCAAAGAAAACCCATAAAAAAAAATAGCAATTCAATACTTCTCCGATGGTGGTCCTTTCTGTACACAGCATAAACAACTCTATAGAAAGTCAATCAACCCACCCGACCAAAACCTTGTTCCACGATTCTAAGACGCAAATCCTATTACACTCCCCAAAATCATAAAAATCCAAAATAGAAAGAACGATAGGATTGAATCACAAACCCACATATCAAATATCATAAAATAAATCTGCAACTGATACCGCACATATTAAACAACGATAAATTAAACATATCTAGATAGCTACCTGAAGGACGCTGTTGCAATAGCAAGTGTTGCCGAAGTTCTCGAGGCCGAAATAGCGTTCGCCTTCGGGAAAATGGTCGCCAAGAGCCTTCTCTAGCTTGGAACCTGCCACACCCATAGTGAGTGCGACACCATCCACCATATACCAGAACTCGTCTATCCCGGTATTCCGATCACTTTGTATACTCTTGAATTTTTTATCTATTAATAATAATAGTTTATAGCTTAGAATTCTGCTGAGGAATATTGCTAGTACATTTAAGAAATTACTGTTGTTTTATGAAGTTATTTGTTCACGGAAGCCTTTCGTTGGGTTGACTCTTCTGGTCTGGTAGAGGTAGCTTTTGTGACTTGCTCGGTCGCTCCGCCTTCTCTTGCGGAGTTGTTTATTTATGTATGAAAATCGCATTTTGCTAAAAGCGTTTTACTTGAAGCTGTTTGGTTTTCCACAATTTTAACCCGACGACCTTCCAACTAATTTTAGAATTAATAAAATGAATCCTTTCAAGTATCGTCACACCCCAATTTATGCATAAATATTTGAAATCCAAATAATTATTCATCTTTTTTTTTTTTTTGGAAAATAAGTAATCTAGTATACTCGTAAAAATATGTATGGATGGACAAATATTAAGACTTGTAACATCAAATTATTCATTGCACATATT